TGTGGCGTTGCACAAGGAGGGCTGCTGAGAGCCGGGCGGGCGATAGTAGCTGACCGGGGCCGGTATAATGGCGAGAAACCGGCACCCGGTGAGCTACGGACGCCGTGACTGGCACACGGCCACATGAGCCGCCACTCGACTCCCGGATGGACGGTGCCCACTGCGCAGTGCCCGTCAGAGGGGGCGGGGGGGGGGGGGACGAGCCGCCCTCGGAAAGTCAGGGGTTCTGGGTCTGACCGAACACGATCGACGGAACCAAAGGGCTGACGGCTGTGAAAACTGAAACATTAATCCTAAACAACAGCTTCTCGGGGCAATGAACGGTTCTTCACAACAACTTCATTGCAACTAAAGCTAGGTCATTTTGGAGACTTTAAGGACCGCAGAGGCAAAATGATAAATGAGCAAAGGTATTCAAATTGCCCTTATATTATCAACAAATTAGGCGTGCAGCTGCAGGACTGACGCCGAGCCGGACGCCGTCCGTCTAGGTATGCCTCGTGGACTCTAACGTCATGCGCGGAAGCAGGCACCTTGCGGAAAATCCTCTGCCGTCCACCAACAAAATGCTGCAAACGACTAACGAGACGTCCGTCAACTTTTGAAAGGCCAGCGCCATGGATACGGTGGAGCGACTGCGCAACGCAAAAGGTCACGACTCAGCGCGCTGAAAGAAACAAACTGGTTGTTTGGACAAATGGGTACTGCCGTGCAATATGTCGCGTTTCGTCATTTCAGTCTCGGTTTCACCATTATGTAGCCGTTTTTGACGCTGGTTTTAGGTACGGGGTTCAGGAAGGCTTCAGTGTTGCAATCGTATGTTGCCTAATTATATTATTTCTTACTGCTGGTATAAAAATAAGCGTAAACGAAAATATGATTTCTTGTCGGTGCAAAAAGACGAATACCTACCTTTCATAAGTTACGATTTTTAGCGTACTCATGTAGCACTCGAGAATTTTGTCTGCTCGGCTTGCTTACATATCGATCCATGCTTGAGCTCACATCGCACCAACTCGAGATAGTTCGAGTCACTACAGCGAGTCACGTGACTTGCAGTCGCTGTGTCCGCTGTGACTCTGTAGTCGGTGACTCCGCTTTGACTCGGTACTCGATAGTCGTCGAGTCGCGGGCGGAGCCACTCGAGACGTCTCCCTTTGTCTCGGCCGGCCGGGCCAAACGTGCACGCCACTTTCACGGTGCACTCGGCTTGTGTAATTTGACGGCGCCGCGTCACCTGCTCTCCACGACCACGTGACCTACACGCGGCCCGGCTGACCGCCGCTCCCCGCTGTCACGTGATCGCCGCTGCGGTGGAGGCCGGCCGAAACCGATCCTCGCCGGTCGGCCGGGCGAACGGGCTGAATTACCTGTCCGCGGGACGGACCGGGGCCCTCCGCGGCCCGGCCCGGTCCCCAGCATTCGCTCACACTCGCACACAGACACACACACACACACACCACAGAAGCCGTACCGAAATGCCTGCGGCACCCCTCCACGACGCGCACCGTCGGGACCGAGGGAAGGGAGGGAGCGAGGGTCGACCATAGGCGCTGGCAGTACCCGGGACTGTTTGTCGGCAGGCTTACGGGCATTTTCCACACACCTGACGCGCGGGAGCGGAGCGATGGTTGGGGCCGGGGAGGGGAGGCGAAGGGGAGGAGAGGGGAGGCATGAGCCCGCTGAGCCGAGTAGCACTGAGCCCCGGGGGCGGCACCCGGTGACCTTTAGTGACGGTCGGTGACCTTTTGACCCTGCGGCGCTCGGTGGACGGTGTGCGGCAAAGGTCACAGGTCAGTGCAGGGGGAGGGGTCGTGTGTGTGTGTGTTATGGTTCGCTGACGTCCACAGGTCGATGCCGCCCAGTCGACTGGCGCTGAAGGTCGCTGCCGACCGTCCCACTGCGTCGCTGTCCTGGGCTCTGACTGCTGTGTCGGCGGGGCCGACAGACGACAGCTCTGCCCGCCACCGAGCTGAGCTACGTAAAATATGAAGGTGAATGAACTCGAAATGTATCATATGTATAGTAACACTCGTCTAAAAAATGCCTTCTTAACCCTATTAGTGGCAGGGGGGGTTGTTTTCATCCACCCCTTTTTTCGGGAATATCTCGGGAATATCTCCGAAACCGCTGAAGCTACGATGCTGAAATTTTCTGACTTTTCCTAAAACTAAATTGGGCACATTCGCTGAAAATTTCAAGCTCATATCTTTACCAGGGGCGGCTCCAGAGCACTGGGAATTGGGGGTCCTATTCGTGAAGCGAGTCATTTGGGCGAAGATCACGATGCTGATGTATTATAACTGTATACACCAGTTTTACGAACAGCGAATGAAAGGTATCATGTGATAACATATACAAAGTTATTGTGCATCCTCTTTTGACACGTTTTTGCTATAATAGGCGGATCCAGGCGTCCAAAAAGGGGGGTTATGTTTTACCTCCCAACATAGGTGCCCTGACACCGCCTATGCATGACCAATACAATTGTAGTCGTTCTCTCATAAGAAAATTGTAACATAACAAGACCATTGCCACCCTTTTTAGAAACAGTACCAACAAAAACCTTATTTACTACCTATACTTTTTGTGTACCCCCAATCTCAATTATCTGAATCCGCCTATGATTTTTGAAAATGCATATTTTTAGGATCCATGTGAAATCCTAGTTCATTCTCCATCGATCGGCAAAAGTTGCGTTAAGATTGGTTCAGAAACCTGGCCATGATAAACAGTCTAAAATGTATCTGCAATTTGCCCGTTTTTACCCCCCTCTACCCCCCTATTGACATTTTTTAATTTTTTTTAGAAATGTAGATCACGTTGAGCGAAATCGAATGCCATTTGAATTTTGAAAATTGGCCCGTTAGATCTCGAGATATCAAGGGGGGGTCGTAAACAGCCCCCCCCCCTGCCACTAATAGGGGTAGGAGAACAAGAGCAAGAATTCTTTCTTGTAAAGAATTAAGCTACCGCTTTCTTATTTTTAAATGGCTGATAAACAAATGTCCATTTTCAAGTTCCACGCACCAGAATTCGCTTCCCGCTGACATAAGTTTTGCGTCTCTCTTTTGCAGAGCACTGTGAATTGTGATCGACTCGGGGCTCGCCGCAGGCTCCAGGTCCCGACGATACATGCTCTCTGTGCAGTGCAAAATGATCCAGTACCTACCTACCTATGGTCAGGGGCATAGCCAGTCCCCCTGTCAGTTTGAGTGGGTGAGCGAGCAGTGCTGTTTGAACGTTGCGTCAGAAAATGACCACGTTTTGTGCATGTAATTTAATTTGAGTGCGACATGTTTATGCATAGCACGTTTGAGCACCAGACATCGGATACCGTCCCCTGATTATGCACTATGCAGTTGCATGCAGTGTCATCAATCGGCACGTGAAAGTGATAGAGAAGTTTCGCTCTGAAAACTTTGTCAGTGAATTGATAGCTACTACCTATTTGCATTTTCTTCGGATGTCTGCAATAAAAGCAGCCAGTGAATGAAGAAGGCTCTGGAAGTTGGAACCGGTCATGGTCTCTGGCGCCCGCTGGCCTCACCAAAGGGGAGGGAGGGCAGGGGCAGGAGGGGAGGGGAGGGGAGCTGCCGGAACGTCCTGTTTGACCTTGAGGCGTCGCCAGAAGGTCTGAAAATACCGTCGGCCCGCGGCCGGCACCGTGCCAGAGGGACGTGGGCAGAGCCGGAATGGAGCCAGGCGCCGTCAACTCAGACCTCAGATGTGCCCCGAGCCCCACCCCATACCGGCTGCGGCCGAGCGGCCGGCGCTCACCCGCAGCCCATTCCGACCACTTTCGGTGTTACTCCTTTTTCCGGCCACCGAGCCGCCGACCCTGCGGTCAAAACGGGTTTGTTGCAGAGACTCCTCTCTGTTTTGCAACGGCCTCGGCTGGCCACCGACGAGCCGGTTTTCTTAAAAAGGGAAATCATCTTGGACAGGATTTTGGAGGCGGAGGATTTATCCGTTCACCGCCAAGCCCGAGGGGCGGTTTGAATGTGGCCACGAAGACGGCTTATGTGATGCTCCAGGCGTCACGAAGTAGTGAGTTACTAACACAACACGTCCTGACCGGGGCGGGCCGGCGGTCGCCTGCGCGCCCGCCGTAACACACGGTGACTGCGGCCAGCTTTGGACGGCTCTGACGTAGGTCGCAGTCGCCACGCCGCCAGCCGGCACGATTCGACGCAGTTATGGGCGGGGCAGACCGTGACTTCACGCCGTAGACCGGAGGGGTGCCGCCGAGCGCCACTCAACACACGAAAACTTGGGGAATCGACACCTACCCCGGTCGTCCGCCGAGGCGCCGTCTGCTCACAAAGACGGAGCGTGGGCGGGCGCAGCCCCATCGTCGCTCCGTCGACGCGTGAAGGAGCGGCGAGGGGACCGGAAGGGGCAGGTCAGGGGAGGGGGGAGTGAAGGTTACGGTAGAGGACAGCCCCAAACCGCCTTTGGCAGCGCGCCGTACCGTTCCAACCGACGACCAGCATTCCCGGCCCGGTATTTACAGGCGTGACGTCAGAGTGACGTCAACGGCCCACACCACGTGACACGGGACAGTCATGGCGGCCGCGACCGGGCCAGCCGACGCCACGGCAGAATCGGCTCAAAGGCCAAGCCCAGTTCATGCGTAGTAGCCAGCCGTCAGCGCAAAGAGCGTCACGTTCGGCGCGGCCGCCGCTCACGTTCGCCGCCGTTTTTGTGCTGGCCTCGAGCGGCCGGCGTCTGAGCGGGGGCGGGGGCGGGGGCGGCTGCCGGCGTCTCCCAGCAGCCCCCCAGGGCCGCGGCCCGCCGCCGCGCCCTTCTCCCGCTCAGTTCCGCCGCCGCTGACCGACCTTGTGGTCGTTTCCTGTTCCTGATCGGTCGGCTCGAGGTCGGTAGGGGTCAGCCAGGTGCGACCTCGCCGCCACACCAGTCACACAGCTGGGAACCCACCCGTCCGCTGCGCCTCACAGGCGGCCATCAGATGGTATCATTGACGAAAACAGTCGATATCATGAACAGTCGTGTATTAACACAATACCATCAGTCGTACTATATACTTCTCTGCGCCAGCGTCACCGGCCAGGCACCGCAAAGTCAAGAACGCTTCCGTCTCGGTTGTCGCATAACAGCCAGAAATGTAAAATGTCGAAATAAAATTCCAGCCGCGGCGACCCGCCGTTCAGGCTGGGCCGCCGGCACGTCCGTGTTAACATTAAAATAGGAAATAAACGAGAACCTAACGAGACCTACGGTTAGTAAGGGGTCACAAGGACACGTCCGCGGCTAAAACCGAGCCGGTCCGCTCACCAAGACTGGGCGTGCGCCGTGCGAGCTTGCTGGGCGGACGGGCGGCGGGCCGGCCGGCAGCCGAGGCCTCAAAACAGGCCCTAAGGCGCTGCCGGCTCACACCCACCGCAAGCCACTCCCTCAGCCAGACGTATTACAAATTACAAAATCAGGACGACTTGATAAATAATGATACATCTATAATGTAACTAAACTGATGCTCGATACAAATAAATAAGTGTGACATAAATATAAGCATTACGATATATGGATGAATGACATTGGAGCAGTCCCCGCTTGCCGAAGACAGGGCGAATGAACATGTTAATACCCCGCGAAGGCCGGCCTTGTAGCGCGTTTCTCTCAGTGGCACCACGGGGCAAGTCACATCCAGACCGCCTGCCGTCTGTCTAGTAGGCACTACTGAAGCTACCCAAATTTTCTGTTAAAAATAAACCAAATAACTATTCTCTATGAGGATAAACGTCCACTCTGTCACCGCGGGGCTCACAGCTATTTAAAGTGACGCCACATTGCGCTCCGTTCGCGCCGCGCGGCGATCACTGGCACACCAGCGCAGTTCGCGCGGCAGCCGCTCTCTCTCTCTTCTCTTGGTCCCGTGAGTAAGGAAGGCACAATGGTGGGGCGCCGACGCGGCCCCGGCGCCGCCGCCACCGCCGTCGCCGCGGTGCCGCCCGCGCCCCGGGCCCGGGCACCCGCCGGACGCCGCGGGAGGGCGACCCGCGCGCGTCCGACGTTCTCCCGGGCGTCGGAGCCGGCGCGACCGCGGCCGGCGGCGACGGTCGGCGTCTGGTGGCACACTGCCGGCGTATCACAGCGAGAACGTGTCCTTCCTCATGCGGGAGAAGACTGGGAGCCGGAGATGGCGCGGCTGGTCGAGCGGGCTGACGCTGGGCGGACTGCCGCTGGCGCTGCCCCCCGAGGACAGCGACATGGTCTCCAGGTCGGAGGCCAGAGAGTCGGGCGTCGGACTCGGCGGCAGCGCCAGCAGCAGGCTGATGTCGCGCTGCGGCGGGAACTGGAACACGTGCAGCGGCTGCGGCACCGGGCTCGGTGTCAGCGCCGTCGACTTGTACACCTCATCGGCGAACAGCATCGACGTCGGCGAGCTGGAGCCGGACAGCGAGCCGGGCGAGGGCGGCTCGCCGGCCGAGCCCAGAGGCGCGCGCGGCCGGCGCTGCTCCTCCGTGTTGTGCACAAAGTGACAGCGGGCGCCGTATGGGCAGTAGCCCGTAGTGTGAAACGTGCGGCACAGGTCCGTCTTGTACTTGGGGTGGCGGGACATGTTGCGCAGCTCGTGCGCTCCGTGCGCGAACTGGCACTTTTCTCCGTACTTGCACTGCCCGGACTCCTCGAACGGGCGGCACAGCTCCGTCTTGTAACGGCTCGAGTTCTGCGGCGCCAGCTTGCGCTCCGTGACCGGCTCGCTGTGGCTGCGGTCGAGCCGGCGGTGAAGCGGCAGCTCGGCCGACAGCGGCGTCAGCGGCGCCAGGGGCAGCGGCGACCGGCCCACGGGGCTGTCGAGGCTGATGTCGGCGCTGCTGGCCGACTGCCTGCCGAGCTGGAGGCCGCCGAAGGCCGGCTGCTGCTGCTGCGGAGTGTTGCTGCTGCGCCGCGACAGGCTGGGGTGGAGGTACGAGTAGGCTGAGCTCGGCGGCTGCGGCTTGGACGTGCTGTCCAGCCCTGAGCCGCCGAATAGGTTGGGCGAAGGGGTCATCACCTGCAAAGACAGAGAAACAGACGTCAGAGACCGGCACACAGCGCAGGCGAACACCCAATACCAAACAAACATCCATCCACCAGTTTTCGATTGGCACACAGGGGCTCAGGAGAGACCTCCTCCCTCCCTCTCTCTCGCTCTCCCTCAGTCTCTTTCTCTCTCAGACTGGCAGGCGCCACTGAGGCGCGGCGAAAACACATCCCCAGGCGCGGCGGAGGCGGGCTCGGCGCACGCTATGTCCATCAGATGGGACGGAGCCGGCCAGCACCGGCAGAGGCCGGCCCGCAGCCGAGGCAGACTCATCAGATCGTGCTGATGGGATCAGGGGTGGCGGCAGCGGCCACTGCACCACGGCAGGGCGCCCCTACCTACCGGCAGTGGACGTTCACAGCATTCAGCTCAGCTCAGCACCCAGCACCCATCTCCCTGAGAGGGTCCAGCCACCACCGCCGACGCACGCTGACTGACAGCGGCGGCGACGGCCGGTTCAGAGCTCACAAACGCTTTATAGCGCACTATGTACCAACACCACTGCCGAAAGTCGACAATCCAGTTTTGCACGGCACCAGCTCGATCACTTTTGATAAACCGGTGATACTGGTTCGGACAGCCACTATAATGGGTAGTGAAAGCATGGACATCACGAGCTTCGCTCGGCGAGAGAACGGCACTGAAAGATGGAGCGGCGGTATTACAGTCGTGTCTGCTCACCACGCACTCATTCCCAGCACGAGAAAGGACATTCGACGGTCTCTCGAGTGGCAGCTCCTGGTCCCGGGGCCGCCGCCAGTAGCAGCTGACGACCCGGACACCCACCATACCGCCCCTACTGCCAACATTGTGCAACAGCGTGCAGGGGAGCTCTGCCGGCCTGGTACCGCAAAACCACAGACCGACCGACAGGCCAAGAGAAGACAAAGCCGCTGGGAGATGACCGGCCGCTGAGCAGTCGGCAGAATCCCTCCACTGCACGGCAGAGGGCCGGAGCAGAGCCGGCAGAGCGGCCGAGCAGAGCCGGCAGAGCGGCCGAGCAGCCCACGACCGGCCGGCCTTGAATTTAAACTAGCCGATCTGGTGGCGTCGCGCGCCGCTGCCGGCGAGCTGAGCCGTGGTGCCGGTCGCCGCTCGGCCGGCGGGCCGGCCGTTTCTCTGGGCGCGCGGGCAGCACAGAAAACGAAACCGGCGGCCCGTGGTTCGACTCGGCGGCGCGCGCCACGGCGCCGGCACGACGCCCCACGTTTCACTTTTCATTCCCGAGGCCCAGCAGAGGCGAACGGAGCGAGACGATAGAGATTAGCACATGAATAGGGCACACTGGGGTGGGGCGGGGATTGCGCTGGCAGACTTCCGCTCGTCATTTACAAAACGACGTGCGGTAACATTGAGTCACCTGTTACGAGACTAGAAAACAACGAATGCAAATGTAATAGTAATAGCAGTGAGATGGAAAACTTCTGTAAAATATCGGTCATTAAAGGACATGAACTGACTGGGTCATGGCCGGTCAAAAATTCGGAAACTGCGTTGACTGAAAATACCACAGACAATTTTAATACTTTACCATAATGAATGACGAGACATAGCGAATCGAACGGAGGCTTAACGTGCCTCAGTACTCCCCCTGTCGTCCAAAGTTTATGAAACTTGCATTTTTTTCTCGCAGTTAAAACAGTTGCTTGTGAAGTTTGCACCGAAACGCACAGCAGCACAAACAGAAGCATTTTTTTTCTTATTTTGGGGAAACTTGGTGAGGCATGGACCAGCAGTTTCTGGGGATCTACTAATGTGGCTCTTACGCCAATCGCCATGGAGTTAAGGCAAATTCAACTTTACTTTTGCACACTAAAGTAACGACCGATAGGAAACCATCAAAACCTACCACAATGGAACAGGATTTGACCATATTCAGGCCGCATATACGCTATTGATCAGTCGAACAATACATGTTCCATGATCGTATAACAGGAAAGTCGACTGTTGACTATCTTTTTAGTAGTTCCCCTTCGGATGAATAAGCCAGGAAATCGCATCAAAACAATTTACCTGACGCTGACTGGTACAGTGGTCAAAAAGACTGTTGCCCAAAGGAAAGCGAAACGTTTAGATTCGTATAAAACAGCCCCATTGTCAAACGGGGAATATTCGAGTAAACATGTATCTCTTTCCTAGCTTTAGGGCACGAATTTTTCCGGATTGACCCCGGTAAAAGCCCCTGTATGAGGACAATTTACAGGCAAAACATCGAACAGCAAACCGTGACGTGACGTTGCATCGATAATGCTTTAGTTTTCCAAAAACTGAAATGCACGTATACAATTTATTAGTGCCACCCGAAATTCAATAAAAGCTTAGGCAACAGAAAATCATTTTTTAGCAAGAACTTAAAAAGATTACGTGGAAGGTAAATATGAAAATTGTCCTTTTTCCACTTGTTAAAGAGAACACGATACGGTTGCCGTATAGCTCTGCTATGTGGCCGACCATGAGGCTGATAGACCAGACAGCGCGATATTTCTGAATCATTTCCTGTTTCGTTTTCCGTTCACATGAGAGATATTGGAAGTTCGAAGGAAATTCCTGACAGGCGACTTGGCACACCCAAACTATCTGCAAGGCCGACCGAGAGGAAACTGCGTACCTGAGTACATAAATGTCCTCTACATGGTAAATGGAGGCAAATAAATGTGGAGGGGTGCATGACAAAACTTAGCCATTTAGGTAGGTACCCAAATGTTAAAATATATTTTTTTCCTTTAAGACACTTATCCAACAGATCATAAAAAGGGAACCGGGTGATCAGGGTACAAGCCACAGCAGCGCCCACGAATAAAAGGTATGAAAAAGCTCACGAGTGATGAATTTCAATAAGGTGCAACGGTAAGACTCTACGGTAAAATGTACGGTGGGAAAAAGGAATTCATTTCTCATTCAATCCCAGAGGATGTCATATCTTTGCCAGCTTTCAGAATGTTAATTTCAAATAAGACTAAAGAAATGCAAGTATTGACAGGAATCGGAGGCCCTCTGCCACTACGATTAGCTTAGTGTCCGGTGTCACTGTCGACCTCGCCTGGCGCCGCGCGCGCGCGCCTACCTGGCGTCCGCTGGTGACCGGAGACGATGGCGACCCGCCGTCACCACAGCTCGCGCTCTTTGGTATGGTATCACAGCCGGCGCGCGACCTGCCCAGCGCGGCGGTGCGAGCCCGTCTCTCGGCCCACCGTGCTGCTCTCACCGCCACGACCACCGGCGCCCGACTACCAGCCACGCACGGCGCCGCCGAGACCGACAGCGAGCGGCCGGCCCGCGCGCGCCAGCTACCGCCAGATCTAGGTCATAGAATGGCTATAGTGCGCGGACGAAACCCGGGCCCGGCCCGGTCGGTCACTGCCACTTTCGAATTGGTTGCCGCCCGTCAGTCCGGGCGGCGAGCACCCCGGCGGAGCGCCGGAGGTCAACTTACCCCCCAGAGATCCAGGTAGCTCTTGTCCTTCATGGAGTCCTGATGCAGCATTCCCAGGATCTCGGAATACATGGCAGCGGATAAAATGTAGCCGAAGAAGAAAGCACACTATATCTCGCTGAACCACGCTCCGCGCCCTCACTCCCCTCGCGTACCCTCCCAGCCCTCGTTGCCAACTGACGCTAAAAATCCCGGCCGGCCTGAAGATATGGTGTCCTATGCGTCGGGGCGGGCGGGGCGCCGCCGCCGCCAGCCAATCAGCGGGCGTATAGCGATGACGTAGAGGGGGGCTACTGCGGCCGGCAGGGCCGTCGGCCGGCGCGCCGGCGGGTGCCAATGGGGGCAGGGGTGCAAGGGGGAGGGGCGCCGAGCACGTGGTGGGGTCCGATATGCCCCAGACAAAACAAAAACGTACGGAGCGGTACGGGGCGATATGGGAACATTTGACCTCCAAGGAGTGAGGGGTGAGGTCACAAGAATTCCAATGGGGAAAATCAGTTTGATATGGAAGACGAAACTGATGTCGCAAATGTTATCGCTAGAAAAAAATATTTGGGTTATTAGTTAGCCTGCCATCTTGTAGTAAATATTCGTGTTTTGTGTGCGTGTGTGTTTTTAATTCCTGATTCATCAAATCGTTATGCTATTTGTGCTGTTAAATGGTTGCACCGTAAAATATAAGCATGGAAAGATGTTAATAATATAAATAGTTTATTGGCTCAAATTTGTGTTTGAATAACTGAAGGCCAACAGGACAGTGAATCAGCTACAAATTAATTAAGTGACAGCCTCTGAGAGCGTCTGTCGCGTCGGGAGGGACGAATGGAAAAAAGCTCATAAATCGGGTCGCTATTTATGAACGAAACATAAATAATGCAATCATCGCACTATCTTACCAACAACTGGAACATTCAATTGAATGTGAAAGCTATGCACTCTCAGTAATAACTTTAATACAGTATATTTACGTACCTAACAATAGTTACACCCACACAATCAGTAAGTGCAACTTTGTGCTGTCAAGAAAATCCTTTCTGGACTAGGGGGAGCGTTGACATAGCTAGGTATCGACTTATACCCATTGATGGTGGACCACCGTAAAATCTGTAAATACTTAGTGGCTTCCTGTGCTTATTCAAGAGCGTACCTAGAGTTCTGTACATAGAGGGTGGGAGGTCGTAAATGCTCGTAATATTTTCAATGCGCCCTTCGAAAAAAAAAAAAACGCACAGAAAGGGGTGAGTCAAATCGGTAGCTCTCGGCAATAGTTTAACCATGGTAAAAGGTAATTCCCTGTGTCGCGAAACACCCAAAGGTAAGGGTCAGGTCAGGTCACGTCAAGCCGGTGCGGGGCAGGCTGCCAGGGTCATGCCAAGAGACAAGAAATATTCAAACGTGTATAGTCTTCGCTGTTTTTTACATTGCAAAAAACAATGTGATGAGCTTGGACAGGTCGAGAAAGTTGGTGCCTACTCGTACTTCACTCGTAACCATCGTACTCGTATAGGATGGGCAGGCGCATTAGTCGATCTCTTCAATGATGTTACATATGAAAAATATATGAACGACTATATCCGATACATCCAACGGTCATATCACCCCCACCCTTCACCAATAAAAAAACACCAGACTCAAATTTCCGGTAACTCGGCCCCGAGCAACAGACCGCACGGTGGCAAGGGCCTCGCCCAGTGGTTCAGACATTCGCCACTAGGTGACACTAGCTGACGGTGGCGCAGAGCTCTGAATGGCAAGCTGGGCGTACAAGCCTCAACTTCAAATGACATTTGAATGAAGTTTTTCATTTCTAAGCGTGGTAAGGCGGTAGTCTGATAATAGCATATCGAGGCGAGGGAGAAGCGTTTGTATCCTCCCCCCCCCCCACACGCTTGAATCCCGGTTCCTTAGCCAACAGCACAGACCGACAAGCGATAAGCGGCATTCGAAACGGCGTTAACCCGCGCCCTGCTGGGGGAGGGGGGTGTTTGAACACCCCCCCTTGTGGTTTTTCGCGAATATCTAAAAAACGGCGGCGCGGAGCGCCGCCTTTTCTGGTACACCTTATCATACATCAATTCTACACATGCTGTGAAAATTTCAGACCAAGGTCATTCATGGTCAGGTCACCAGGTCACTTGAAGTGACCTCACCTCATAAAAAGTTTCAATGTCTGTCATAGCTACACCGAGTGACCGATCGCTTTGAAACTTTCAGCGATTGCTAAGAGCAATAGCATGTACAAAATGTATATCTCAGAATTTTGATATCGATGACCTAAGGTCAGGTCAATTTTGCGACCTCCCCATTTATACCTAAGTCAATGGGAGAAAATTGAAATGCGCCTCATTTGGACAAAAGACATTATAAACACTCCCAAACACCGAATTACAAGTGGTTTAGACACACTGAACATGAAAATGGTGTCCGTGACCATTGTTTATGCCCTGAGGTCATCTTAGATCACGAATGGTATCTAACAGTTTTTTCGCAAATAACTTTTGATAGAGGCACGCTAGAGCGATGAAAACGCCTTAGATGTGTTCAGCTCGACGATACGGATCGACTGATATGCAACATGACCCTTTCCGGTCAGGTCATGACCTTGACCTGAGGTCAAATTTTCAAGTTGACCTTTCAAGGTCAAGTTATAGTTCATTCGATGCGTCTTGACGAGAGGAACACAATGCCGGTAAAAGTAAGCTCGTACAAGGCTTGGGTCAAAAGTTATTGCAGAAAAACTGTTTCCGAAAAAATCGGCTATTTTTGCAGTTTTTGCCCCCTGCAGGCAAAACCGTTGACGTTACGTCAAATCTGAGAGAATTACCCAGAAAGGGCTTTAATAGGGCTATCGAATGCGCTTTTCCGCGGCGCTGTAGCTCTATTGGTTCTCGAGTTAAGCGTTGGCTTCTTGAAAATTTTCGACATTCGACCTGGAAATCGGCGAAATTTTGCCTTCAATGACCTCTGGTGACCTGACCTTTGACCTGACCAAAAAATTGACCGAAGTGATTTCGTCATTATTTTTTACGCTCTTTCGAACGCCGCCTTCCGCGTATCGCTACGTGGCCCAGGAGCCGAGTTACAAGGGGGGGGGTGTTCAAACACCCCCCCCCCCCCAGCAGGGCGTGGAAATCCAGAACCCCCAGCCGGGCGCGGGTTAAAATGACAAAACAAGCAAAAGTAAGTTAAAAATCTTAAAAAAGTTAAAAGGTTAAAGTTAAAAAGTTAAGGTAGCAGATTAGTTATTCATCATGCCATGCGAAAGCCGAGGTCGCCAGGCTTAGTCAGTTTCTTTATTGACGTCAATGGAAATATCGGCTCCTGCTGAACTGATGTTAACTTACCTACCTATACCTAAAAATAAATTAATATATGTAATGAAACATGTCTAAAAGAACACCTGCTCCCAACATACACAAAAATAAAAAATAGATAAATGCAGAAATATACGATTGCTCTTTTAAATCTCTTTCAATGATGAACCATAATATTTGACCTAAGGTCAACGAGCTATCATGTAGAGGGCAAAGGGCCTTCCTAATTGACGTTGTGGAAATTTTTCATGCAATGATTCCTATGGCAAAGCAATCGCACGAAATATATTCTATAGCAATATTCCATAGCAACACGTTTCGAGATTCGTCGAATGGACCATCATTTGACCAAAGATCGGCTTGAAAATGTGACCTGGCCCTGGAGTTAATTCAAGGTCATGACCTACCGAAAAAGTTAATGTGGCAGGCATATCAGCCAATATATGGTGTTGAACTGACCACAACTAACTCGTGTTTTCATTCACTCTATAATTGCTCTATCAAAACCTTATGTTAAAAAACTGCCAGTGCCGTTTTAATGACCCAACACCTATAACTTCAGAAGTTAGCCTTCGCGACCGAGGGGGACACTATTTACCCCCCCCCCCCTCCCACCCCGACAAATATTTCCGATAGCTCCCGAGCGCTTAGGGATGGAAGCGTCAAGCTTTTATTACCTTTTTTCCCATCAATTTCACATCCAAAGTAAAAAAATCCGCCTCGATGACTTTACGGGGTCGATTTTCCTAATCTCTCGCACGGCAATTTTCGACGTCACAGACGTGAACTTCAAACAGCTGCCAAAATAGTTTGAGATAGACGAATTTCGAGCACGGCTTTGTAGCATATGACTGAGGTAAAATACAAAAAAAAAAAAAATGGTGACCTGTGGTCAGAGGTCAGGTCAACGACCCCAAGCTGGGATTTCAGTTTTTCACAGATAACTTCAACAAAAATGGCCCTAGAGCTAGGACAGTAGTTACCAACGCATTTGTCTTGTCGAGACGCGTCGAATGACATATTTTGTTAAGAAAAGGTCACCTCATGTCACCTCGAATGACATTTGGTTGACCTTGAAACATGAAAGGTGTTATGTTAGGAATGCGTGGTCGCTGACCACGAATCTGGCATCCATTTCGCTCCAGGCATCCATTTAGAGCGTTATGACAGCATGGCTGAATTATTATGGCTGACTTGAATCAGTGAAATAGCCTCTAGCAAGGACATACTTGGCTGACCTTGACATTGGGCCAGCCTTCTATCGTAACCTGAACCACAAATCAAATAGGTGCTTGATAACCTTCAAAATCTTTCAAAATATTTTGGTAACTAGTGTACAAGATATACAGTAAGGTGGGGCTATTTGAGACAGTGGGGCTATTTGAGACAGTATTCAAAATTGTTATAAAATAAAAACCGTTTGCAATCTATGCTTAATTTTTGGTCAGGCGATTTACTGCTCGATTCCACACCTCCCTGAGCAAAAATATCACAAACAAATCAAACGATCTTCATTTTATAGCGATTTTAAATACTGTCTCAAATAGCCCCACTTTACGGTACGAAATAGTGTGA